GTGCTGCAGAAACCCATCCTTTCATTATCAAAATGATCCTAGGGGGCAACACCATCCACTTTTCAACCAGCCGTAGTTACAGACTGGTAGATCTATGTAGTATACATTAAAGGTGTTAATAGATCCTAGTTCATCAGTTAACCGGTTAAATGTTAGGTTAACCTAAGGTTTAACTGGTTAACCAACTAAGTGGGATGCTGGAATTGGTTATGGCTCATCACCTTCTACATGTTGGTTCGATCAGAACAACTCTATTATGTGCTGTCATCCCGACTTTATCTTTTAGGAGGAGTCAGTGTGTTCCTGTTATCCTTGGGAAAATGTGTTTGTGCCATTCTATATATCGGAATGTTCTGGTATCTCTTGATACTGGCATGTGTTTGTGTGAGTGCTCTGCGACTAGCACTTCATAGGGTTGTGTATTTCTGCAACATTAGTCTTGTTCTTGTCAGATTCTGTTAGCAGCCTCATACCTGGCCTCTGATATAAAGACTTATGTCTCAAGCTCTTTTCCTACTACAATAGGCACCCACTGTGTGTGACTATCAAATTGGACAGGTTAGGCATCTGAATGCCTGTCTTACCTTGGGGCTCAGCTGAGTGTAGTTGTGGCAACAGTGCATATGCTAGAGCAGGGGTGGCCAACCAGTTAGAGACGAAGAGCCAAAATAGCTGTGGATAGAGTGCAAAGAGCCATATATTATATTTATTTATTTATTTTTATATATCTTATCTATAGCTATAGATAGATATAGTACACAAAATGTAGTGATTAAAAATAACATTACAGGACATTTCAGACAAAAACCAATAAAAAAGTCTCTAGTCACTTAAAAAATTCACAGCCAGTGCATGGATCTTCAGAGAACTTGACAAGGAACAAACCTCAAATGTAGGTACTTAAATAGTGTTGTGAATTCTAACATTTGTACCTCCTGGAACTCCAAAGTATGCAAGAGAGCACACCAGTTACACCTCTTATGGGATGCTCTTAGTTGATCTGTTAAGATGTACAGTATGCTGCTTAAGAATAATAAGACGAAATAACTAGTAATACTAGTGAGATGAACTGGCAAGTGAAAATTCCTAAGATGTGTTTGGATATGGAATAGTCTCCAGGAACAATGCTTCCATAAGCGAAGACAAAAATTGAACTGAATTACCTCATATTTATTCTCCTTTGTAAAGTGCTTTCGGATCTATGGTTGAAAATTTGTAGAAGAGTTAAATAATATTATTTGTATTAGATTGTGACAAACCGAGCACAACCATAAAAATTAGAGGTAGGAAAGACAATGCAAGACCCAGCTGACAGTCCTAAAATTTAAGTTCCACTTCTTCCAAATAATTAGCCAATTGATCTGTTTTTAATTCTTTTTTGGAGTCTCTTGAAACGTGACCTGGCTCATTGTCATGTGTGTACATAATCAATAAACTGACTGATTTGTTTTAGAACTTACTGATATCTCTAATTCAACTTTGTGTCAGTGATATATTCCCTGTTACAAGCCAAATAATTTCTTGGTTGTGCATTTTAGAGCATGTTGATTTAGCAAATCAGCAATAAAATTATAGAGTTAAAAGGAACTTCACTGTTTTATTATGAAAATGTTGAATATTGCTTTTTGTTTAAAAAAATAAGTGACAGTAAAATCTGTTTTAATAATCTTTCCTCCTTTAGTATGACAATCTCCTGAGCCAGTTTGGTTGTATGCAGGTTTCTGGTTCAGCATCCTCCCATTCACTGTCTGCCCCGGAGACGAATCGCCCACAAACATCAGGCAACAACATAGAACAATACATTCACGATCTTGACAATAATTCCTTTGAATTGGACTTGCAGTTTTCTGAAGATGAGAAGAGGCTACTACTGGCAAAACAGGCTGGTGGAAATCCGTGGTAAGATGTTGCAAATGGTTGATCTATGATTTTTGTGCTATAATAAGGAATCTACGAAACAGTAAACCATCTATCTGGTCTTGCTTTGATTCATATTCACCTTTAGCAGAGTCTTAAAAACTGAACACTTAGTGATTTTGTTAGTAATTATACTTCTCCTGACTAAAGGCTTTTGATATTCCTATTTTAAGAATTATGTGCAGTGATGATCTGAAAAATATCTGTGTGTGTGTATACAGGCAGTCCCCGAGTTACGCGGATCCGACTTATGTTGGATCCGCAATTACAAACGGGTTTTGCTCCACGTATCCCTGGTCTGCTGGTCTCCAGCAGACCAGGGAGACGGGGAGCAAAGCCTCTGAGGAC